AAACTCACATCTTCCTCTCCTCAGTCACCTCCTTCAGCCCATGTGGGGAGGCACCTAGGTGTTCCCACGCCAGTCGAGACATATAATCTCCCCAGCATATCCTTGGTCTGCCCCGGGACCTCCTGTTGGTAGAACATTCACAGAATGCCTCATCCAGCCACCATCTGAGTAAGAGGCCTGAACCACCTCACCCGGCTCCTTTCGATATGGAGTTGCACTTCCACTCTGAGTTTCTCCTAAATGATTACACTCTATGCCATATTTCTAAGTGTCAGCAACTCCCATGCACCCTTTGGAGGAAGTGTGCAGTCTCTCTCTTAACCACAGACCAATCCATCGGTTAATCCTCCACTCCCCCGTGAACAGACTTGGAGGTGCTGATTCCCATTCCTGGTGGTTTAGACTCACCTGTGAACCAGTCCATTGTATGCTGAAGGCCACTACCTGATGAAGCCAACAGAACCACAACAGCAAAACACAATTCAATTATAGCGCCAAATCACAACATCAGTCACCTCAAGCTTCTTTATATTACACGGTATACCCCTACAACAATAGAGAGAAAACCCCGTGTGAGCTAGCACCTGGCAACAGTGGGAAGGAAAAACCTTTTAACAGGAAGAAACCTCCAGCAGAACCAGGCTCAGGGATGGCCAGCAATCTCCACGATCAGTCGGTGGTGAGGGGAGGAAGACGGGACAAAAGACACTGAGAGCCAGAGATGAAAAATAAGTAATGATTAAATGCAGAGTGGTGGAGCAGTGAAAGTGTATGCAATGGCTTCTGATGATGCTGCCTAAGGGAAGCATGTATAATGTACACAGAATTGGTCCTAGCACTGAACCCTGTGGAACTCCAGAACCTTAGTGTTTAAAGAGGACTCTCCATTTATGTGAACAAAGTCTATTAGATTGGTATGATACAAACCACTGCAGTGCTGCACTGAGGTCTAGCAGAACAAGCACGGACATGAGTCCACTGTCAGAGGCCATAAGAAGATCACAACATACCCTTCATAAATACTAATATATAGAGACCCCTACCAGCAATCATTCATTTATTTATGTCTGTGGCTTTTTGTTGTTGACATGCTGTGTAGGTGTGCACTTGACCAGCTGATATCAACATAACGGGGAACCTTTGACTATTGTTCACCTGTAGTTTGAATGCTGAACATTTGTCTGTTTAAATCACAAGAAGTGTCCCCGTACAGAGATGTGCTTCTGATTTTGTAATGCAGCTCTGCTTGTGTTGAGTGATGTAAGCAACCAATCGATCTGCACTCTTCAAACGTCAAAATTAAGCATGTGATGTTTTTATGACACAGCAGTGGTGGGTGTTCCCACCTCCTGCTCTTTGTCACTTAATGCAATCTTTCTGTTTTCGTGTTTTTTGGGTCCATCTTCGCACTAGCGATTGACCGCAAAATAAAGCTACCGGAAACAGTCAACTCTACATCAGGTCTTAATACAGGAGGTCAGCATTTTCTCGTGCACAGGGTCTATAGCTTCTGTGATGACAAGTAGAAGCTGGTGTAGACGTTGGTGAACCCCAGGAAATAATCCACAACAAGTCGAATCATTTATGTGAAAACACTTATCATGTCCCTTTTTATTTTTTGGTTTCTTATGTTGCTCAAAACTGGAAATTTTTCAGAATGATGCAACACCACATGAATGTCACTCTTCATCACACTTTTCAGGTCAGCCTTCAGCTGCTATCATGACCCCTGGGTGCGAAGCACCAAATGATGCAAGACCTGTATTTCCCCAGGAAAGACAAACACGAGGGCTGGTTTCTGTATGCAACTCTAAGGAAGCGACCCTTCCTCTGTCATTTCCTATATCTGTGTGCAGAGCAGCTACCTAAATCCTGCTCTCAAAGAAGTCGATCATGTTGTTAATCTTATTACATCCTCAGTGCGTGTGACGCAGGGTGCTGTGGCTTCTCTGAAAAAGAAAGCAATCAGTCAGCGAGGTTAGACTCTTTCCTATAAAGTATCTAAATGTGAATCCAAGTATGACATTTTATCAACTTCTTTTCATCATTTTTGGCATTAATTTGACAAAATGTTCAGTTCAGCAGGCTTCAGTTTACAGTAGGTGCCCCACACCATGTGAGTCAAACACACTAAAACACACATGGTGTTAGTATTGTAGTTAATATTCAGTATTTTCACTAGACATACCCGTGCTCACCTCAACGCCCAGCTCTGGGGTTGGACTCTGTTCTGGTCTGGAGTTGGTGAAAGGCAGTGAGCAGGGTATGCTGCAGGTTTCACTGAGGGATGAGAAGGTTGCTTACAGTTTGGTCAGTGAGTGGGGCAGTGGAGCTGCTTCATCTGGTGACTGCGTTGTTCTTCTGGGAGACTTCTACGCTCACATTGGCAGAGAGACCTGGAGGGGTGTGTTTGGGAGGAGGTTTTCTGTAAAAGCGCGCCACTTTGGGTGTGTATACGTTCCAAGACAAGTTAGCTTCTGAAAAAATGTATAATTTCGTGTTGTTTTTTCACAGTATTCACAGCGTGTGAAGGCTATGAGGCTGATAAAGTGTGGATGCACTGTGTCACTCCTAATCAGCACACTCCTCAGGGACAGCAACACTTATAGGGCTTTGGAGCGTGATGTCACAGGGGTGGGCGTGGAAAGGATTTTGGCCTGATGCGCCATTTTCCGGGTCCAAACAAAGCGCAAGCGACAAAGGAGCAAAAGCACACACAACAGCCGTGGTTCGTACTTGCTGTGTGGTCGGCTGCAATGTTCGATCGCACAACCAGCACAGGAATACGCTTAAAAAGGGTTTGTGTTTTTATTCTTTGCCAACCTGGAAGCAGCATGAGGCAGCTCATATGGCGGCGTTACAAAAAGAAGGCGTCCAGCCTGGATAGCAGCTGTGAGACGAGCTGATATCCAGTTCACTTAACTTACCGAACATTTTCATTCCAGTAAGTTCTATATATGTGTTCATATCACTCTTTATAGCTTAATAATATTATCGTTGGTGGTTTCGGAGGTTATAGAAATTGCGAACAAACATCGAATGGAGTGACTTTGCAGACATGCGTGTTATGTAACGATTCGCCAAATCTGCACGAAGCCGTTAGTAAATTGGATGTGCGCCTCCAGCGACTTGTAATTACGAAACTGGTTCGCGGTGTAAGCGCTTACTCCACAAACAAGATATGTGAAGATATCAGGGTAGGACAGTGGCGGTAAGTGGTCGGGGTCTTTACTCCACGGCCGTATTTCATACGGGTCCACATTTGCGATGCACTCTATTTTTTTCAAGTACCGCTGCTTCGCCTCTGGACGCAGTCGGTCTCTATACCGTCAGTTTTCTTTTGAGCTGCTTTTAGCCATGTTTCTTGTCGTCGTCGTTCCAACACAGTGTGTTTGTTTTTATTTGTGGCGCCGCGCTCCCACTATATATTGCGGCGTGACGTCAACTCCAAAGCCCTATAAGGTGTTGAGACCCCACAAGCAGCTGCTAGAACAAAGTCACTTCCCAAACAGAAGCAGAAAAAGCCATCATCCACCCTACACACCACCCATATCCTGGGGACACGACGCCCCCGTGTATGGACCTCTGAAGAGTCGCAGCGTGATCTCAACTACCTACAACACTCACTGCCATCACACAAACACTGTGAAGCACAGCAGACCGTGACTAAGTGTGACATCAATGAATAACAATAAATAATATTATTAGCTTCAAATGTTTTATCTGCTGAATATGATACGACAAAATCACATTCACACTCAATCAAGAAATACTGCAGATGAGTTGGCAGTGAACAGTTTTAATTCAACGTTTTAGTTGGAATAAAAGCGAGAAAAAAATGAATGCAACAAACTTAAAATGAACCAGTGTGAACTCACATCAGTTTGGCACAACAATCCACATTTACTATGAAACATAAACTGAGTAAAATTTAATGTCTCAAAATTTAAAGTTTTCTTTTTTTCTAATTAAATTCCAAAGCAGTCATCAAAGCCTCATACTGCATATTTTATGTGGGTCCATATGTAAAGGTCCACTTTCACGATTGTTCTGAGTTACAGCAGTTTTTCACATACTGCAGTTCGGTACATGAACACTGAATTTCATGTTCAGGAACATGAACCAGTGGATGAAATTCATTTCATGCTGCTATGAGTCTGTGTTGCTTTTTAATATCTTAAACTATAAACCAGCACACTCGTCAAACAGACTCTGAAATCCAGATTAAAATAAATGATCAGAGCTGTGGACAGACGATCTCAGGCTTATGTTGTTCGCCAGCCGACACTGGTTTACTTTTTTAAACTCTTTCTTTGGACAGGTCATTTTGGCCTTAAAGAGTTTGCCAAGTGAGACACCAGATATCTGCTCTGTGACTTTAATAACTGAAAACAGATAAATGTTGAAAAGCTGAAGGAGGCTTGGTGCAGTTCAACCTATGTCCACTGAGCGGCAGCAGAGGACCAACTGCAGACCGTAAAAGCGACAGAAGCCAAAGATTTTCTCCAGCTGTCATTTTTCCAAACACACTACGAACTGATTTGAATCGACGTGCATATGTAACATGCCTGTGACCTTTCTCTCCAAATAAACTAAAACTTGTATTTCTCAATTTAATTCTGGCAAAAAGAGTAAAGTCTAAAAAAAAGGATAAAACAACATTAAAAGGTGATGAAAAATTATTAAAACATTTAGTTAACGACAGTAGCAAAACAGTGCAGGTGTGCAGCACAGCACACAGATTGTCTGAACATATGCACTATATACGTGCATGTTGCACTGTGGTGTTGGAGCTGCTCTATGCTACAGTTAGTTTAGCTTTAGATTCTAGCTGTTAATGAAATGGGACCAAACGGAGCAGCAAACTGAGATGAAACATTTATCTCCATAAAACAAACAGTCCAAAGACCACTGGATGACATCACTGTGGTTTCATCCTGTCACGGTTCTGGGTCGGTTCGACCCGGCATTTTGAGTTTATTATGTTTTCGTTTATCTCTTGAATGATCGTTGTGTTACCTTTGTGATTTGTTGGTTACTATTTAAGTTCCATGTTTCTGTTCACTCGTGGTTAAGGATTTGTGTCATGTTTTGTGTGAGTTTAGTTCTGCGTCCTCGTGTAGTGATCGCTTGTTTCCTGTTTTATTGTGAAGGTCTGTCTCATGTGAGTGTGTTCAGTTTGACCTCTCGTCTCGTTGATTATTCCCAGCTGTGTGTAATTCCCCTGTGTTTCTCTGCGTGTATTTAAGTCGTGTCCTCTGTCATTGTAGTTGCTGGTCTGTCTGTGTATCTGCCATGTTTCATCCGTGTGGTCCCTGCCGGCATCATCATGTACCATTGTCTTCCTTCCTTCCTTCCTTCCTTCCTTCCTTCCTTCCTTCCGGTTCGTGTTCTTGTCCGTGCTCAGTAGTTTAGTTGTCCGTTTGCCTCTCTTTATTTTCGTGTTCAATAAATCACCTTCACACCTTCACGGCTGCCTGCGTTTGGATCCTCCTTTTCCACACGGCTCTTCTCAATCGCCGTGACACATCCATCTTTTACATACTAAACAAATGAATGTGTGCTGGATTTAAAGTAATGCACAGAATGAGAAAAGCAAAGCATACAGAGCCTGTATCTACTGACCCTGCGGCGTTTAACCACCTTGCGGTCACAAGTGTTGTTCGTCTTTTATAGTTTAGTTCAACCTTTTTATCAGTAACAGATTGGGGTTTTTTATTCAGCTGACTTCATTATGTTGGTACCAGTGTCTTGTATTTTAATCCATGTATGTGCCAGAACCCAATTTTTCTACTTGTGACTAACTTGTTTATCCAGACTGTTTAAAAGGTGTTTCCATGTCTACTGACATGGCCTTAACTGCTGATTATTAGGTCAGGGTTAGAGAATATTTATTTGTGTAATGCAGTGTTGCCCCAATTACAAAGACAGATGGCCTTTGTCTGACTCAGCTGGTCTCACTGAGTCTGAAACACAGCAGGAGGACGACAGAACAAATAATCAGAGTTGGAGAGAGAGGAGCAAAAGCTGGAGTGAAGAGGAAGAACAAGGAAGGTCATTTTAGGGCAGGAATTATAAAAGAAGAAGAAATGTTTGAGAGAAAAACTCAGTTGTACATAATGATGTTAATTTTTAGTTTAGTTTCACTCATTTGAACTGCAAATATTTTAATAACCAAAAGGCCTCTGTTGGCCAAGAACAAAAAAGTTCTGGTTGATTGGAAATCTTAGAGAAAATGACTCTTAACCTTTGTAAACACTTTGTCTGTACTTTTGGTCTCAGTCACTAGTTTAAAGTCTTATTGAGTACAGCAACGATCACTTTGTAAGTTATGGTCTGATTGGAGTCAAAAAGGCGGACAACTGTCCAATGACCATGCAGCGTCCTTCAGTTTCATCTGTGCTTGTGGCGTCTGATTTCAAGCATGGTGACAGGAATAAAGGGGGGGTCATGATTTTAGAAACACTGTTTAATTGGAGCATAATATCAAGCTGGGATATTGATCTGGTCAATGTGTGTGTGGGGGGGGGTAGTTTCAATTCTCCAGGCTGGCACATGAATACGTGCCATTGCCTGAAGGTTTGCTGTGTCTCCCAACAGTCTGAGGAGCATGAGGAGATTCCAGCTGGCAGGCAGTTACCCTACGAGAGCTGGACAGAGCCATGGAAGGCCTTAACCCATCAGTGGGTCTGGTATATACTCTGTACAGGATGAGCATGCCCAGAGCTATAAAAGGAGCTCCAGCAGGCTGCTGGTGTGAATGTCTCTGACCAAACAGATAACTTCATGAGGGTGGCCTGAGGGTCCAATGTGCTCTTATGGCCCCTGTGCTCCTTTTTTGGCACTGTGGAGTCCGAATGGCATTTGCCGTAGAATACCAGAATTGATGCCCTGTTCTTTTCATAGTGACAGCAGGTTCACCCTGAGCACATTCAGAGAAGCCACGCCTGTAACATCCTTCAGTATGATCAGCTTGGTGCTGGTCAGTGATGGTCTGGGGAGGCATATCCATGTTGGGAGACACAGACATCCTCAGGCAACAACATCCTGAATGGCATTAGGTATCAGGGATGAAATCCTTGGACTCACTGTAAGACCCTGCGCTGATGCAGTGGTTCCTGGTTTCCTCCTGGTGCATGAGAACGTCCGGCCTCATGTGACGAGAGTATGCAGGCAGTTCCTGGAGGATGAAGGAATTAATACCACTGACTTTCCCCTGCACTCGCCAGACCTTAATCCAGTCGAACACCTCTGGGACTTTTTAGTTCATCTGTCCAGGAGGTCAACGATGAGCTCTCCCTAAACATCCCTTGTCTCATTAGAAGCATGCCCCAACATTGTCAGGCATGCAAACAAACTGGTACTTTTTGGAGTTGCTTCAATGAAATTTCAGCAAAACGAACTAACCTGCCGTTGATTTTTCGGGTGTCTTTGAATTCAGCCCTCTTGATCATTTTATTTTCCATCAAACGATGTGACGCCCTTTAGTGCTGGACACGTTGCCCAGTCCATTTCAGTAGAGATATCCTGCCTGACTTTTCTCCCATTGAGATTTTTTGAGCAGTGTATATTTGCTTGGACTACACCCTACTGTCAATTGGGGCTCAGTGCCATTTCTCTCAATGCCATTGGATGGGAGCATCAATAGGGCCGGAGTTTGACTGTAAGTACAATTTTAATGTCCTTGTGACATAAACAACAGTCAACGGGACAGAAAGCGTACACTACAGACAGGCAGAGCTAAGCATAAAAAGCAACATCCAATGGTGGTTAGAAAGTAGTCCAAAGTCCAACAAGCAGATGTAAGAACATCAAGTCTGGGACAAAGGCTATGTAAGCACACAGGATGTCTGTAGTTTCTCACTCCTCCAGGTCATGGTAGTCTCAAGAGCTTGAACAAAGAAAGCAGACGGACATCTTTAAGTTTGTGGAGATGTTTCATCTTTAGCCTAAGATGCTTCTTTGGTTCTAAAAAAAGAAAAGGTGGAGAGTCAACTTCTTTGTTTGTGTGTCTCTTGTCTTTGGATCTAGACATTTAAGGGTTCTTTCGTGGTTTTGACTGATGTTTGTCTGTGTTTATGTCTCAGTCTGATGTCTTTCCCCCTTAAATCTAATCCTTTTTTCTCATTTAAATCGAATTGGTTAGGAAACATTAATGGATAAAAAAAATAAATTGATCCTGGACAGTACTTTTCTTTAACTATATTTTTATTCTTCAACATGTCCTTTGTTTCATTTAAACATTTTAAAAATGTTGAACTTTTATCCAGCTCCGCTTTTCATGTGATCCATCCGAGTGCTGGCACAGTGAGGATGAAGAAGTGATCGGATGTGTTGACCCCGAGCAGCAAGATAACAGGTGAGACTGACGCAAACGGATCTGATTTCCACTTCAGTGTTTGTTCTGCTGAGAGTTTAGATAGTGTGTGTGTGTGTGTGTGTGTGTGTGTGTGTGTGTGTGTGTGTGTGTGTGTGTGTGTGTGTGTGTGCTGTAACACATAAAGTTAATATTTAGTGTTGACCGTGAAATGCATCACAAATGTGCCGGAGACAGAGTGAGAGAGAAACCCGGGAGCAGCCAGACTGCGAGCAGGACGCAGCTGCGAGGCACCGATTCGGCTTCATTCAGCACTGACTTTTTGTTTTCATCTTCATCTTCATCACCACCATCAGCCATGTCAGTTCTTCCTCTGCGGGTGAAAATGCTGCGGCAGGTCTGGAGGCTGAAGGGCGTCGTGATTCTCGTCTGCAGCCCGTTCCTCCTGCTGCCGCTCGCCGTCAGCACCACGGTGAGACGCTTCACTGACCAGTTTAACCCACCAGTTTACTGAGAGGTGACCAGTTCACTGAGCACTTTAACTAGTTTTCATGAACAATGACTGGTTAAAGTTACCAGTGAACCAATGTACAGGACAAACTCATTTTAACCTGTTAACTGACAAGTAACCAGTTATACTTCCAACTTTACTGAGTACTAGCTGTCCTGAATAACCATCTCACAGAGAAGTGCTCGGGTTAGTACTAACTGGTGTAAATAACCAGTTTATGGCACAACAAAGAGTCAGTTTGGCAGTGCAGCCTAAAAGTCCCAAACAGATCACCTCCAACCTACCAGTGTAACATAAGTGATCTAAATATCAAATTTGAAGAACGATGATTAAAATAATTTAATTACAAAATTATTATTTTCTGTTTTTTTTATTAAACTGAACACTAACCAGCTCTCCTCCATTCTTGCTACTGCTGTAGCTTCTGCCGACTTTGCTATTTGTGAACTAGTGCAGCATAGTTACAGGTTTAATGAGCACTTATTGGTCTAAATATTACCAAGAACAAACTTTCAACCAATCAGCACTCATCTAAGTAATCTGTTTAAATAATCAGTTTTCTGAAACAGTGACCAGTTCAAGTTATTGATTTACACTCCAGAGAACAAACCTGTTTAATGAAGCTGTTAATGAGAACCTGCCAGTTTAAACTGAGCAGCAACCAGTTTAAACAGCCAGTTTTCTGAGAAATTACCAACTCCAGTTAAGAGTTTACTCAGCAGTTTATTAACTAGTACATCCTAAAAGTTTCAGAGCGTGTTTGAGCAACCAGTTTAGTCTAAAGAGATCAAGTTTCCCGAACAATGACCAGTGAAAGTCACCAGTTTATCAGGACAGAGACGAAACTGGTTACATTCACCTGGTTTTGATCACTAACACATCAATAAGTGCTGTTTACAAGCGTTTGAGCACTAACCAGTATGAATGGCCAGTTTACTGAGACTGTAATGCAGCAGTGAACCAGCCTAACTGATGTCATACCCGTGTGTGTTTAAAATGACCAGTTTTCTGTATGATTAGTTAAAGTTAGCAGTTTAGTGAACACGTGAATAAATACCAACATAAACTCAGAGTGTGAAAGAACCTCTACGATCGGACAATCAGCCTTGTGTCGCTGTTTCATCATCGTTTTCTACTTTATTTTGATCTCAGTTTTACACAAGCATAGGTGTCAAACTCTGGCCCGCGGGCCAAATGTGGCCCGCAGCCTAATTACATTTGGCCCTCGAAGCCA